CCTTTCTCGACTAGGGATGGAGACTGCGCGAGAGGCAGCGTCCTGGACACACAAGCCTCAGCTCTCCCCTGCCAGAAAGCAGAAGGACATGGGGCCATCTCGGGGGAGTGCGTGCAGAAGCGGGGTGGGGAGCGAGGAAGGGGCAGGCGCCGTCCAGGGGGTCTTCCCGTGGGCTGAGTGCGAGAAGGCCCCAGGTCCCGGACGCATCTATCTCCTAAGCAGCAGGACACCTTTTCTTCCTACAAGCCTCTGCGGGAAGACCCTCTGGACGGGTGGGAGGGTCAGGACTGGCACTTAGGGAGGACAGGGGAGCTCCGGACCCCTATGTGGGGCCCTGGACACGGGTGGGGGCTTCTGTCCGCCTGGCTTCTCCCAGGTTATGCCCTTTACAACAGCAGGGAACAAAGTCTCAATCCCCAGTTCTGAGAGTCCTGCTGGAGGACCGTGGACCCAAACAAGGGTTGTGGGAGCCGCAATGTGTACCCAGGGGTGTGGGGACCCAGGGTGGCATTAAAAGGGGGGGCGGGTGCTGGGGGCCGAGCTGCTGCCTATAGGGTCTGTGCTACCCCCGCAGGCAGGTGTCCAGGCAGCTGAGACACCCCGATGCCGCGTCAGGAAAAGACGTCGCGCCCACTCTCGCTGCGAGCCCCAGAGCTCCGGCCCCTTTCCAGACAAGCGAGTGGGGACACTCAGACCTCGGAGAGGGAGCCGCCAAAACCCTCGCTCAGGACAAGAGGCTGGAGGCCACCAAGCGGAACCTGAAAAGCAAACGCCACCGACTTCACGAGGAAAACAAATCCATCCCTTCTCGCCGTGAGGATGAAAGTTTCCTCTATCAGACGGCACGGATGGAGCCACGGCCTCGTGAAGAGCTAAAGGCACCGAGCTGTGTGAGTTACACAGCTAGCGGGTACTGCCCGAGCGTCACACCTCAGTTATTAACACAAAAATCAACTCTCACTGGGAGAGGACAGAGACGCAGACCAGGAAGCCACGTCGGGGGGGACGCTCAGGACCCGGAGCCACAGCTCATACCCACACTCAACACCAGCCGCTGCGGCCCTGGGAGGGGAGACAGTGCCTGGGAGAGCTGAGGCCCTCTCGACACCTGGCAGGAGCCGGGCAGCTCTCCCGCCCTGGAGCACCAACCCCGCAGCCCCCACTGCTGAGCCCTCAGCACGGCCCTGCCAGGCTCCTGTTCCCCCAACATACACACTTGGGGCCCAGAATGGACCAAGTGAGGCCCAGTGGCCTCGGAACCGCCAAGGAGGAAGCCGTGCTCTCGACAGACATCAGGGGCACAGGCTTTGGTAGAGGCGGTGGGAGTCCCAATCGCCCCTCAATTGCAGGCAGGGCAGGCTGCGCTGTGCTTCCGCGGCCCCCGGACCCGCTCGGGAGGAGCCCCTTGCTCAGCCACCGACGATCCTCAGGTGCCCCGTCAGGAAGTGGGCAGGGCCGTCGTCAGGACGCGTCCCAACACCTGGCTTCCAGACAAGACGGGCACGTGCCTCCAACCTCTCCCTGCACACAGGGGAAGCACGTAGTGACAAGAGGCTGGCTCTGCTGTGTGCCCCAGAGCCCCAGGGGGCCCTCACCAGTGGCCATGCCACACACACAGCACCCACTGGGCACCCACCCCGGGGTGTCTCCATGGGAGATCCGGTAGCTGCTCAGATGCGACCAGGCACCCTCAGAGGCCCCTCTGTGCCCACGTCCGCAGTCACTCGGGGTCCTGAGCACCCTCCAGTCTCTGCCTGTGTGGTGAGCTGTGAAAGGGGCCTGGGTGTGGAGCGCGCCCCAGGTGAGGGGACATGGGGGACCTGCAGGGGCAAAGGCATCTGCTCGGCTCCCTCAGTGAGGACGGACACGAAGTGGAGACGGAGGCGCCTGCGTTCATTGTCCCTCCTAACAGCAAACCCAAGGTCTCCCACACGCCCGGCCACCCAAGCTGCTCGGGGCAGCCCCCCTTCTCTTCCAGGCTGCTCTCTGCTCACCACTTGGTTTGCACGAGCGCCTGGTGCATCCCGAGACATCTCTCCCCCAGCTCCACTTCCATCTGTGGTGCCCACATGACCTCCCGGGCACACACTGCTTCTCATCCTTGTGGCCTCCAGGCTGGGCAAGGCCCCCTCCTAGGCGCGGGACCACTCGCCTGCTCTCCATCTAGGCTAGCCCTCCTGACACAGTGGCCTCGAGCCTGTGGGGCTGCCAGAAGGGAGGTGGGGCCTGCGTCCAGGTTGCTTTTCTTTCTAGCCATCCCTGCCACACCCGCTCCCACAGCTGGGGGCACCCAGAGGCCCAATCCCGCCCACCAATCTCCGGGTGGCACCGTTTAAGCCACACAGCATCAGGACACGGCCGTCAAATGCGGGCACCACCACCAGCCTTCCCTCTGCAGAATCCCCCACCTTCTCCCTCCTTCTCTCTTCCAGGTGAGCCGCTAGCATGGTCAGTTTCTTCTGCTAAGAAACCATGAGTGATGGCCGGGCGCGGTGGCTCACACCTGTAATCCCAGCACTTTGGGATCACGAGGTCAGGAGATCGAGACCATCCTGGCTAACACAGTGAAACCCCGTCTCTACTAAAAATAAAAAAAAATTAGCCAGGCATGGCGGTGGGCACCTGTAGTCCCAGCTACTCGGGAGGGTGAGGCAGGAGAATGGCGTGAACCCAGGAGGCGGAGCTTGCAGTGAGCTGAGATCGCACCACTGCACTCCAGCCTGGGCGACAGAGTGAGACTCCATCTCAAAAACCAAAAAACAGAAACAAAAAAACAGTCTCCAAATACAAAAAACTAGGGGGGGGGGGGGGGGGGGGGGGGGGGGGGGGGGGGGGGGCAGGAGGGACAGAACCAGCCTAACCAGCAACCAAAAAAAAAAAAAAAAAAACCAAAAAAAAACAAAAAAACAGTCTCCCATCCCCAACACTCAGGCCACCCAGATGGGACTGAACAAGCCCCACTCAGCCCCTCCGTGGAGGGTCAACACCAACCACTGAAACAGCCGAGGCCTCAGGGTGGGCACCTGTGCCGCAGCCACAGCTGCCGGGTCCGAGTACAGAGCGGCCTCGAGGGCTGGGACCCATGGTCTTCTGTTTCTTGAGACAGGATCTAGCTCCATCGCCCAGGCTGGAGTGCCCTGGCACAATCTCAGCTCACTGCAACCTCCGTCTCCCGAGTTCAAGCGATTCTCCGGCCTCAGCCTCCCGAATAGCTGGGACCACAGGCACTGCCACCTCACTGTCTGATCTTGACTCAGCTCTGTGTGTTCCGGCTTTTCACCAATTCCCATCCCAGCTGCAGATGACAAGCCCCACCCCCGAGAACCTCCAACATGGGCACGGCCCTGCTGGGTCCACCCACTGCTGGGTCTAGGGCCCCACTGCTCCTGGCATCCCCTGGAAGCCTCCCTGTGTGACCCCCGGCCCCTCGTCTGAGTGGTGACCATCACCTCTCAGGTCCTGGCTCCCAGAGAGGCTCGCGGCACCCCTGCCCCATGACCTGGAGTCAGGAGGATGAGAAAGGGGCAGGCCCTGCACTCAGGGACGCAACACCGTTGGGAGCTGGGGTGAAGGCCGGCCCAGGCTGTGTGCCGACCCTGCTCCACCCGGCCACCAAGCAGGCTGCCCCGCTGGCGTCTGTTCTGATACAGTGGTCCTGGGTGTTGCGGCCCAGGCAGGTTGGGGCTGCTGCTTTCTCTCTGGGTCCCTGGACGAGCACCAGCCTCCCTGTGCCCAGCCTCAGGGCCGGAAGCAAACCCCACTGTGCCCTGCAGAGCTGAGCACTAGGGCCAGGAAGCCACACAGATGCACACCCGACTTTGCAGATGGAGCCCGGGGCGGGCAGCAGCCTCCTCCGGTGACAGGAGTGGCAAGGGTGTCCACTTCACACTCCCTGCACACTCAGGGCTGGATCACGCCTCCAAGCACCTCACGACAGCCCCTGTGAGGGGGTCACGGGCAGACAGCAGAGGGAGAGCCCAGCCACACACGCCCTAAGCCTGACACGGACAGAGAAACCCCTGCCCTGGGCACCGCCCCGCCCCGCAGAGCCTCGCCCAGATACACGCCCACCCCGCGAAGTCTTGCCTCAGCCTCAGTGGGGGCAGTGACCTGCAGCGGGTGGAGGGCAGCCCAGTGCAAAACGGGAGCGCTGCCTGCACACCTGCTGCCCACAGTGGCCCCCAGCCCATGTCCCCCACCTCAGGACTGGCCCCGACAGTCACTGCCTGTGCCTGAGGCCTTCACAGCAGCAGGAGTGCAGTCAAGAGGACAGGCAGGGCTGCCACCCTGGGCCACGGTCCATGGGCACAGGGCGGGTACCCAGCTCCCCATGCCCCTACAAACAAGAGCTGCCACCCCAAGACTCAGCCGCTTCTGAGGGCGCAGACCACTCCTGGGAGGCAGTCACCACTCGGTCGGGGCCCAGCACCCGTCCGTCACCAAGGAAGAAGAGCCTGGCCTCTCCTGGGGTGCTCCGAACCCCAGGGGGTGCCCGAGGGAAGCCAGACAAGGCCGGGGCCTAAAAGGAAGCAGGGATGTGAAGGCCGGGCACCCACCGTGCCCATGCAGGCCTGCGGGTTGGGGGCCTGTCCTGCCACGCCTGAGGGCCACAGCGAAGAGCAATGATCTCGGGGAGGGAGAAGGGGACGCTGATCCTCACTCAGCCTCCACCCAACCCACACGGCCACAATTCCAACCCAACGGGAGAGCGCCGGCTCAGGGTCACACACCAAGGATGGCTCCCGGGCACCAAACGGGACTGCAGCCATCCCCACAGGGGCTGCTCTCATGGCCGGCTCTGGGCCAGAGCCGGCCCTCCCTGTCAGCTCCCACCCCCTTCCCCAGCCCTGGCCTCAGGCCTCTACCTGCCCTGTTCTTCTCGGGGTCCTCCATCTGGTCTGGGCCCAGGGCCAGTTCCCTGGGGAGGGCCCTGGCAGCCCCCTTCTCTGACTGTCTCCACTCAGTGATGTCACAGTCCCTGGACTGACATCACCACACAGCCCTTAGCCCAGAGCCCAGGGAAAAGCTGAGGGGAGGCCAGGGACCTCGCTGGGCTGGGCAGGTGCAGGCCACCCCCGTCCCAGTGCCCTCAGAGACACCTAGACTCATGTGGACCCGGCCGTGGCCCCTTCTGGGCAGCGCCATCCAGGCTGGCCCTGCCCTCTGACCTGGGGCCGCAGGGGCTGGCCACCGTGGGCTCGGTCCCCCGCCACCCTGATTCATCTGCACCCCAAGGAAAGAGAATGCGGAGTTGCAGCGCCCCAGGACCCACGAGCCCCCGAACACCAGGGCAGCACATACTTCCAGTCCCAGGGGAGAGCAGAGCGGGACCAGGCCCAGCCCGGTGACACAGGGCAGACGGAAGGGCGCTCTCCAAAACAGAAGAGCCCAGGAGCTGCCGCGGCCGGGACAAACCAACCGCAGGCTGACCTAGGCCGGCAATGGGTTTAACGCATTGGCTGCAAAAGAGAAACACCCCACAAATCAGGGAGAGAAGGGAAGCTGCCTACGCCACGGGAGGAGGCTGAGGAGTGAATGCCGGGGCCGGGCGGGGCCAGTCCTCACAGCACTGTGGAGACCAGACCGAGGGCGACTGTCATCACCACGAAAAGGCCTCATCCACGGCAGAAGCCAACCTCACCACACCGACTGCACCAGAGATGCCCATGAGGAGAGCCGGCCTCCGAGAACGCGGCTGAGCTGTCACAGGCCACCGTCAGCAAAGGCAAGGACCCAGGTAAAGAGCACAGGAGGGCCATGAGCAACCACAGCACGGCGGCCTGGACAGACCCTGACTGGGGGAGGGGGCGAGGCTGCGCAATGGCAGCTGGGACTGGACCCTGTTGGGGAGTGGCGGGGAGGCGGCGAGGCTGCAAAGGGACCCCTATCCCACAGGAGGTCAGCCTTGCCCTGGTGATGGCACAGACCACAGGTGAGGGCCACGGGCGGAGCTGACTCCAGGGAAAAGCTGGCCCTCACCCAGAGCTGCACATCCCACTGGCAGCCTTGGCGGAGGGCACTGTCCCTGCAACTTCTCCACATAGGGGCAATTTTCCCAAAATTCAGATTATGCAAAGGGAGGCGCGGCTGCCATGGACTCCAGGGCCTCAGACACCATCAACAAAAGCAAAGGGGACACATTTGCATCAAATCCATCACAAAGACGGCCTTCGAGACTCTGGGGGAAGTGAGAACACCGACGCACAGGCCCCCACGGCGCACAGGCCCGCACGGCGCACAGGCCCGCACGGCAACCCTGCTCCGCCTCAGCCTCAGTTCTGGTTCCTGCACCCTGGCCCGGGGGCAGAGCTGACCCGGTCTTGCCAGGGGGGCAGGGGTCCCCTGGCCCCAGGTGGTGCCACAGACAGCGGGGGGAAGCACTCAGGCAGAGTCAGGCACCCCACCAGGAAGGAAAACTCCCACGGCAGGTCCCGGGGCTGGGTGGGACCCTAGGGACCCTGGGTGGCTCCCATCGGAATCCTGCTAGATCTGGGAGGACACTGGTCCTTCCAGAAGCGTAACCACAAACAGCCATGGAAAACCTGGGTGGGCTGCGTTTCTACATTTCCTTTTCTTTTTTTTTTTTTTCCAGATGGAGTCTCACTCTGTCGCCCAGACTGGAGTGCCTTTTCCCCTCACAGCGTGGGAGCCAATGGGTGATGTCCCACCCTGGTTTCCCTCCACCCGAAGGCAGTCACCTTGGTCGCCGGCTCCTGCCTCTGCGATGATCCCCACGAGGGCTGCAGAGTGGAGGGCACAGCGAGGTTCGGCCTCATTCCCCAGGGAGCCCCAGACGAGAGCTTGGTCCTGGGGAGCTGCCCAGGTCTTTGCCATCTCCTGGCCTCCATCCAGTCCCTCACAACTCGGCTCCTGGCCCTGTGCACCGAGCGATGACTGCTAGGCCCGTGCGCCTAAGAGTCAGGCCTGTATTCACTTCAGCTTTTATTAAGGACTTTCAGGGATTGGCTTTTTTAAATCATCGTCAAATATATTGTTATTAAAAGGATATGTACACTTTGGGAGGCCGAGGTGGGAGGATCACTTGAGGTCAGGAGTTTGAGACCATCCTGGCCAACATGGTGAAACCCTGTCTCTACTAAAAATACAAAATTTAGCTGGGTGTGGTGGTGGGCGCCTGTAATCCCAGCTACTCGGGAGGCTGAGGCAGGAGAATCGCTTGAACCTCCTGGAGGCTGCATTAAGCCGAGATGGCACCACTGCACTCTGCCTTGGCGACAGGAAGACTCTGTCTCAAGAAACAAACAAAAAAGAAGGTTGAACACATGGAAGCGTTGCACCCTCTGTCACCCGGGCAGTCTCAGTGCCCAGAGGCCGCAGACGACACACACACTATCAGTGTACTAGCGTCTGCCCCCTGGGCCCTCGTCCAGCCCTGCACTCACCGCCCACGGAGGAGCCAGCGTGTCCTTGCTGTCCTGCAGTGACCACCACAACCCCTTTCACATAGAAGGGTTGGGCTATCCCCCAAAATGACATGCCAAGTCCTAGCCCCCAGTAAACAGAAATGCGGCCTTATGTGGAAATGAGGGTGGCCCCAGTCTCACCAAGTCTCAGCTTAATGTCATGTTTCACGATGTTGAGTCAGAAACAGCAGAGAAGAGGAGGGTGGGGAGGTGGACTCTGCTTCCTCCCGCCCAGCCTGCGAATCCTGGGGACACCCAAGCATCCCCCGTCCTGGCCCACTGGGAGGCTGCACCCCCCAACTGGGACCCCCGTCCCATCATACACAACACAGCTGGCGCTGCCCTCTCAGGGAGCCCTGGAGGACCAAGGGCACACAAGCGGCCAGCCTCAGGATCTGGCAGGGTCTGAACTGGAAGACATCACATGGTCCCAGAAGGCCCCCATCTTTGATTTTTATAAATCGGCCAAATGGCAGAAAATGTTGCCTCCCCAGGCACACGGTGTCTCCTCTTGCCTCCCCTCATTTCAACAGCAGGGGGACAGACACAGACCACCCGCCTGGCCAGCTCTCTGACCCCCACGGTCTCCCCTGAAAACTGGGCACATGGCTCACCCAGGGACCTGGGGGGGCACCAAGGCAAACACACGCCCAGCTCACCCAAAACTTTCCAACACACGCCGCCACAATGCCCCCATAGCCCCCACCTGGAGGGTGTCCAGCAAAACTCCCACAGCCCCTCCCTCCTAGATGCCCCAGAGCAGGTGACACCTCCCTTCCAGAGGCCAGGCCCCGCCTGACGCTGGCGGGAGGGAGGCCGTGGGGACGGGCGCTGGTGGCCTCTGGGGCACGAGAAGGCGCCTTCGTGTTTGGTGGGCGGCAGTGGATTTAGGCCAGGCCAGCCCAGGAAGACCCGTCCGTCCCGACATGGAAGGAGGCTTTGGCTATTTCTAAGAGCACCCCCTCCTGTCTTCGGGGGAGTCTTGGACAATTTTCCCTGAAAAGCGGACAGTACTCATCTCCTAGAATCTGAGGTTTGGGAAAGAACGCCTTCTTCAGATGTTGCTGTAACGTTCAAGCTCTCCGACATTGCTGGGCTCTCTTTCGCTACTTAAAAATAAACACTGGGCCAGGCGCGGTGGCTCAAGCCTGTAATCCCAGCACTTTGGGAGGCCGAGATGGGCGGATCACGAGGTCAGGAGATCGAGACCATCCTGGCTAACACGGTGAAACCCCGTCTCTACTAAAAAATACAAAAAAGTAGCTGGGCGTGGTGGCGGGCGCCTGTAGTCCCAGCTACACGGGAGGCTGAGGCAGGAGAATGGCGTGAACCCGGGAGGCGGAGCTTGCAGTGAGCTGAGATCTGGCCACTGCACTCCAGCCTGGGCGGCAGAGCAAGACTCCTTCTCAAAAAAATAAAATAAAATAAAATAAAAATAAACACTGATGGCCGGGCGTTGGTGGCTCACGCCTGTAATCCCAGCACTTTGAGAGGCCAAGGCGGGCGGATCACGAAGTCAGGAGATCGAGACCATCCTGGCTAACATGGCGAAACCCCGTCTCTACTAAAAGTACAAAAAATCAGCCAGGCGTGCTGGCGGGCGCCTGTAGTCCCAGCTACTCGGGAAGCTGAGGCAGGAGGAGAATGGCGTGAACCCAGGAGGCGGAGCTTGTAGTGAGTGGAGATCGCGCCACTGCACTCCAGCCTGGACCACAGAGTGAGACTCCATCTCAAAAAAATAAAATAAAATAAATAAATAAATAAGTAAATAAGCATTGATTTTTGTGGTCTTGAAAGGCCAGGGCCCCCAGCACTTTGGGAGACCAAGATGGGCGGATCACAAGGTCAGGAGATCGAGACCATCCTGGCTAACACGGTGAAACCCCGTCTCTACTAAAAAATACAAAAAAGTAGCTGGGCGTGGTGGCGGGCGCCTGTAGTCCCAGCTACACGGGAGGCTGAGGCAGGAGAATGGCGTGAACCCGGGAGGCGGAGCTTGCAGTGAGCTGAGATCCGGCCACTGCACTCCAGCCTGGGCGGCAGAACGAGACTCCGTCTCAAAAAAAAAGAAAGGCCAGGGCCACCTGGATGATCCTGTGGGGCCGGGGCCTGTCGGTCACTCTACGGACAGTGGATGCCCCCGGCCTCTGAACTTGCTGTGGCGAAGGTCATGGGCAGCACATCCATCTGTCGGTCCCACTGCCCGTGCTCGTCACAGGGTGCAAGATCTGGCCCTGTGCCTGCCACGGTAGCGGGGACACCAGGCACCTGCAGGACCCCTGGCTTTCTAGACGGCGTGGGGATCAGGACAGCGGAGTCTCTGAGGCCCTGCAGGCCAGAGGAGCGTCCGGCCTGAGGACGGGAGAAACGCCGGAGAAACCAGGTCCCTGCAAGAGGAGGGGGGCGGTCGTCGCCGTGCAGAGATCCGGTCCCCAAAACCCGGCAGGGGACAAACAGTACAGGTGCTATGGATGGCGGTCGGCGGCTTCTCAGACGGTCCAACCCGGAGAGGCCGTGTGACCAGCGGTTCCACCGCTAGACGACCGCCCGAGAACCACCACGCGGCCATGCGGGAACCGGACACGGTTGCTCGCAGCCACCACACGCGGATGCCACGCAAACATCCATCACGGAAATAAGCGCGTGGCCAGCCACGCACCGGAACACGACTCAGCCACGAACAGGAGCGAGGCTCGGACGCGGGCCACTTGGCTCAGTGAGAGACGCCAAACACGCAAGGTCTCGGCCTGTGTGATTCCACCCCAGGAGGTCCCTAGAACCCTCAGAGTCACAGAGACAGAAAGTAGGATGGGGGTGCCAGGGGCTGGAGAGGGCAAGGGAGTGAACGTTTCACGAGGACAGCGTCTCAATCTGGGAAGGTGGGAAGGTTCTAGAAAGGACGGTGTGGAAGGCTGGCTGCTGAAAGGGCCGGGGCTCCCTTTGCAGGTGATGAGAACGCTCTGGAATAAGAGGTGGTGGCTGCACACACACAGGAGCCTTGTCCACGGCGGGTCTGAACTGACAGGTCCACTCGGACGCGGATTTTTCCCGATAAAGGCTGCCCTGAGGGCGCCGGCCTCTCCTGGCTCCCTCCCACTCTGCCACCCGAGAGAGCGAGACCCACCCTCCCCTCCTCAGCCCTCAACGTGAACACGACGAGGACAGAGGCTTCCCCGAGCGTCACTTCCACTGCGCGGAGAGCAAACAGGGTCTATCTTCTTTATGCTTTTCTCGACACGTTCTGGTCTCCAGCTTCCCTCACTATGAGAACGCAGCACCTAACACAATACACAAGGCGTGTGAGCATGGACCGCATGTCCTCCCAAGGCCTCCGGTCACCAGCAGGCTGTGGGCAGCAGAGTCTGGAGGACTCGAAAGCTACACGAGGGTATTTTACTGCATGAGGGGCTGGAGCCCTAAACCCCACCCTGCTCAAGGGTCAGCTGTACAAAAATCACTTATGTGCACACGTCACTGAATTCTACCGAATGTGGATTATGTTTCGAGCAAAAAAAGTGGCTCATGCTCTGAGGACCATACCCAAATAAGGCTGGTAAGAGAACAGTGAGCTGGGTCAGTGTGATGGGATCGTTAATTTTTTTTTTTTTTTTTGAGAGGGAGTCTCGCTCTGTCACCCAGGCCACGGGCGAGGTCCAAGGGGCAGCGGAGGTCCCTGACCACTTCCAACAGGACAGCCATGGTACACCCAGGACGCAGGCAGCGAATCCCACACAGCACCCCTCTCCGCAGCGTACAGGCCTGACCAGCGTGATGGCACGGCATGTACACACCTGTGCGGACGCCGCCAGGGCACACGCACACCACCCCTGAGGCCACAAGCCTCGGCCCAGCCCACCTGCAGGCTCCAGGGCTCTGGCTGGAACCCCCTCAGCGCACCCACCCTCAGAGGAACTCAAAGGCACACCCAGCAAGTCAGAGGCAGACACGGGCCAGGCCCTGTCCTCATGCTGGTCCCGTCCTGGGAACTGACCACAGGCAGAGCCTGGGCATCGGCGCCAGCCGCCCGGCCCCAGGACCACTGGAGCAGAAGCCTGAGGGGCACAGCCGCCGCAGACAGGACAAGCCCTCACACACTTGCCATCCTTCTTGGGGATGGAGGTCAGATGGGAAGGGGCAGAGGTCATCGCAGATGACATGAGCATCCTGGAGTCACCGGGGAAACAAAGTCCCTAAGGAGGGCGGGTCCCGCCGGCAACACAGACCACAGCACCATGGCCAAGGGGGCAGGACTGGCCATGAGGCCTCACAGGCAGGGACTCTGTCCACGAATCCAGACCAGGACTTGGGGTGCCTCACTCCAGAGGGTGAAAGTTTCCAGATAATTGAAGGATTACCTTGAAGCACAACTTTCTTCAAGGATCCAAAGGGCAATCACGCATCAACGAAACATCGCTGGAGACAACAAAAAACCTCTTAGATTTCCTCTGCCTTTTACATAGCGACAGGGCTGGGCGCAGGGGCTCACGCCTATAATCCCAGCTATGTGGGAGGCTGAAGCGGGTGGATCACCTGAGGTCAGGAGTTCAAGACCAGCTTGGCCAACATAGAGAAACCCCGTCTCTACTGAAAATACAAAAACTAGTCGGGTGCGGTGGCGCTTCCCAGCTACTCAGGAGGCTGATGTGGGACAATCGCTTGAATGCAAAAGGCAGAGGTGGCAGTGAGCCAAGATCGCGCCACTGCACTCCAGCCTGGGCTACAGAATGAGACTCCGCCTCAAAAAAATAAATAAATAGGCCAGGCGCGGTGGCTCACAAGGTCAGTAGTTTGAGACCAGCCTGACCAACATGGTGAAACCCCATCTTTACTAAAACAATACAAAAAAATTAGCCAGGAGTGGTGGTGCACGTCATCTCAGATACTCAGGAGGTTGAGGCAGGAGAATCGCTTGAACCCAGGAGGCAGAGGTTGCAGTGAGCTGAGATCGTGCCACTGCACTCCAGCCTGGGCAACAGAGCGAGACTCCATCTCTAAATAAATAAATGAATAAATAGCGATGGGCCCGCCCTGGTCTGGGACCCCCGAGCCTCATTCTGGTGTTCCCAGCCCCTCACTTTGAGCCCTCGCTGAGGTGGCACAAAGGGATACGCCCCACGCCGCCAGGCTAGTCCAGTTCCTGGACAGACCCATCCAGCAGACGGCTGCATCCATGTGCCAGTCACAGGGACAGCACAGTCCCCTGGACCCAGAGCCAGTAGAGAGGATGGGAAAGGTGGTGAGGCCCATCCTCTGCCCGCAGGGCCACCACCCCTCGCTGTCACTGCTCCCACTGGCACAGCGGGTAACCAGAGGAGCACAGGTGTGGGAGTCAGTAACCACCACTTCCTCCTCTACCCAAGGAGGCCAAGTAGGCCTCGACTTCCTCATCTGTAAAATGGGCGCTCCACCCACTTCCCAGGAAGCCCCAGAGCACCGGCCCCACGAGAACTTCAAAATGAGGAAGAGGCAGACGCGGAGCCTCCCAACCTGGGGAGCCTCCAGACTGCAGGCCTCACTCAGACGGCCTTGTCCAGAGGCCGCCAACCAACAGGTTCTCTCGCGTGGCTGCCAGCGGAGCATCCGCAGATCTGTGGGGCGGGGGAGGCAGACCTGGCACGCCTGACACCAGAGCTCGATCCAGCACGCGCGCAGCCACTGAGCCCTAGCTGGACACGGGACTTGAGGCTGACCTGAGGACAAAGCCCACAGCTGCCCGCCACCACCGCAACACTAACCAGGACTCGGGCCAGGGCCTCCTTCACATAGGCCCTGTGTCCTCTGGGTTCAGAGAAAGTCAGCCAGCCCCACACGCCAGCCTGCCCACTGCCACCCGAGGCCCGCAGCCCCTGCCAGTCTGTGACCGGCCCTGGGCCTCAACAGCACCCAGAGCGCTGTCTCCACCCACCACCTGCCCTCCGCCAGGCCTCAGTCAAGGCCTTGACGGACCATGAGCCCCCGGGGGGCTGAGGCAGCTCGATGGGGATGCAGAAAGGAGGCAACATCACTCCAGATACCCCAGGGCAATCCCGACTGTCCCTAAGCTCAGCTTCGGTCTGTCCCAGTGGCTCTGCAGACACATCTGCTGGGGGGCTAGGGCCTGCCTCTCGGGCGTGCACTGACCCCCCCAACCAGTCCCCACAGACACAGTGTCCCCCCACCGTGCCTGGCACACCAACAGGACTACCCCAATCCCCAAATTAATGGCTGGTGTACTGGCTTCCCCTAAGCTTCCGATGAGCAACAGAAACTTTCAATTAAAAAAACCCTCACCTACTTCCTTTGTAGCCCAGAGTAATTACTGTATCATTACAAAGGAGGCGAAGAAGAAAAGAAGAAACCCGAATCAGCAATTCCACAAAATCCATCCGCACCAAGTGCTGCACCATCACAGGCCGTCCTGCAAACGGCCTGGCTCCCGGATCTGCCCAGAGTCCAGGCACTGAGGTGCTGGTCCCTCATCCCCTTCAAAGGAACGAGACAGGATCAAATCAGACAGGAAGCCCCTTTACACACAAGGAGGTCCGACAGCACTACAGACCAGTTGGGGTTTTGCCTCCCACCGGGGTGAAGGGAGCAAAGACAGCTCCTCTGACATCTCACCCCATTTGCCCACCGCACAGTCCTGCAGAACATAGGAGTGGCCTCTCACCCCCAGACCTGGCCCTTCCACTGGGACCCTGTCCAGACCCCGCTCCCCTGCACGCAGGTCTCCAGTTCCCTCCCATCTGTGCAGGAGCGGCTCTCAGAGCTCACCGTGGGGGGCTGAGCAAAACACTCTGGGCCCTAGAGACGTCAAGGCAGGCGTGCGCGTGCCTGGGAAACTCATCAGTCAGCCCAGCCCAGAGCGTTTCAGAGCGTTTCGTTTTGGTGGAGATACAGGAGAAAACAAAACAAAGTACCGGTGACAACCGCGAACTTCCCCCTTGCAAACCTGGGGGCCCTGTCACACAGTCTGTCCTCTGCACAGAGGCACCCCAGGCTGGGCCGGGCTGTGCAGGGCAGAGTGGCCCAGGGTGCTTCCATCCCCAGCTGCCACCCAACCCCCAGTCCCCTCCCTAATCCGAGCTCCTTTCCGCGGAGGGACGCCTGGGTTTTCCCTCCAGATGGGAGCCTTTGTACCTTCCTGCTCAGCTCCCTCACCCACGAACTACCAGGGCCTCCGGGAACCAGGAAACACCAAGGAGGCTCCAGCACGTCCTGGGGTGGGGAGGCAGAGCCCCACCACATGGCCGTGTGGACGGCCCCGGAGCCCTGGGCCACACGGTGGAGCATAACGGGGAGAAGATGCTGGACTCCACCTACACAGACAACCCTCCGGCCCGCTTCCTACAAACAATGCCATCCGGAGGCCACAGGAATAAGAACCAGATGTCCCAAAGCCATTCTGGCTCAAGACGCAACAGTCCCAGAATGTCCTCTCAGCCCCCACGCCCCCCAACGGGAAAGTCTTCCCGTACGAAAGTTGGGAGAGAGAAGCCAGGCGGGGATCGGGGATCGGGGATCGGTGAGGCCACCGCAGGCCCTGTTCAGACATCTCACCCTCCCTCCCTGATCCGTGCGTTTCCGGAAAACAAAGCCGGTAGCCACAGCGGAAGGGGGAGGGGGCAGCAAGCCCAGCCGGGAGTTCCCAGGCAGTGCCGCAACAGGTCCCTGCGGATCAGACCACCTTCCTCTCCCCACCATTCCCCTGCTCTCCCCCCTCAAGAGCTTTAGGACCACAAAGTGAGGACTGGGACACAGCTGCGTGGGGAGGGGCCAGACCAAGACAAGAGTAGGCAATGGGGCCAGGTGGGAAGGGGCCTGCAGACCAGAACGCGGGGAGGCATAAGGGACACGGGTGAGTGGGCGGTGGGCTTGAGCCCTGGGTGGGGGAAGAAAGCGGGAGGTGGGGTGCGGACTAAAAGCTCAGCGGAGGGCAGGGGAGCTGGAGCACGGCAGTCACCGGGGTGCACAGTGGGGAGTCACTGGAGCGGCGGGGGCAGGGTCTGGAGTGTGAGGGTCACTGGGGAGGCAGACTCCTGAGTGTGGAGGTCAGCGTGGGGTTGTGTCTGGAGGTCCTGAGCGCGGGTTCAGAGGGGTTGGGGGCGCTGGGGTCCCGACTGAAGAGTCAGCGAGGATTTGCGGTGGTGGGGCCCCGAGTGTGGGGGGTCAGCGTGGAGGGCGGTTAGACAGGGTGGGGGGCGCTGGGGTCCGGAGTGCGGGGTCGGCAGGGCGCAGGGGGGGGCAATGAACCCTGAGTGTGGGGGCGGGGGCGCCAGGGGTCACTGGGGGCGCCGACGGCCAGGGAGCAGGGGTTGTGGGGGCCGGTGCGGGCGCGCGCGTCGTTACCTTGGCTCCGCCGTGGCCGGGCCCGCGGGCAGTATCTGGGCGGCCGGCCCGGCTTCAGCAGCGCAGCGCGGACCCCCGCTCCGGACCCCGCGCCCGCTCGCGCTCCGGCTCCGGTGCCCGCTCGGGCCCCCGCTCCGGCTCCCGCGCCGCCTGGGCCGGCCTCCGCATGTTCGGGACTGGAGGCGCCGGGCTCGCCGCGCTCCGCCGCGCCCGCTCCGGGGCCCGCGCGCCTTACGCCGCCAGCGTCGGCCAGCGGGGGGCGGCGGCCATACGCGCCCCACTGCGCAGCCGCGGCGCCGGGGGCGCGCGCCGCAGACGTCACAGCGCAGGGCGGGGCCAACGCCCGGCCGGGCGTCTCTCGCGCCGCTTTGCGACAACGGATGGCGCCGCGCGACGGCCACCGCGCTTTGCGGCCGCTACGAGGCCGCTGGCCCGCTGACCGCGGGGTACACCGAAAGCGCGTGGCCGCGGGGGCGCGCGCGGGTAGCGAAGGTAGTCGAACGGTTTCCACACCCTCCCGGGGGCGGAGCTTCCGCCGCCCGCGCATCCCCGCCCGCTGTTGCCATGGCGACGCGTGGCTGGTCGCCCTGGCACCGCCCGCCGCCTTGTGTGTTACGTCACAGTCTCGCCACCTGACGTCACGGACGGGCGGCGCCGCGGGGCGTTCCGTGCGTGGGGCGGTGGCAGGCGCGGCGCGCGAGGTCGCGAGGTTTCCGGGGCAGGCGCTGGAAGAGGCGGCTGGCCAGGAAATGAGCTGGTTAAGGGCAAGAGGGTTTTTCCATCTGACTTTCCTGAGCCAGGAGGGGAAAAAGTTCTAGAATAACTGCTCCGTGTCCAGGGGGAGAAAAGCGGTGGCCTGGGTGCCCCTCCTCCTCCACCGTGACATCAGCAAGGAGCAGAGAGGAAGTGGCCCCGGGCCCGCGGCCGGCACCTGGTCAAGTGCACTGCGGGGTCTGCCAAGCCTAGCACGGGCCGCTCCCCTGGGGCTCTGCGCATGGAGCCGACTCTGCTTACGCTGCCTGCCTTCGAGCCTGCACCGAGGAAGAAACGTGGGGAGGGGACCCACAGGCCAAGGCTCCGCTCAGTGAGGCCCTGTTCCACCCCATGACAGGGCCTGGAAGGGAACGGGCAGCTGCAGAAGTGGTTTCCGGCCTCCCCACATCTCCCACGTACCTCCCGGTGGGGGCATTTTTAAAGTCGGAGGAGACACATTCATTCAAATATGTATTAAGTGCCTGCCAGCGGCTCTGAGAATAGAACAGTGAGCTAGACTCTTGGCATCGTTTCCTAGGGAGCCCTTGGTTCTAGGGGAAGGAGAGAGCCCTATGTGGTGATTTCAGATGACGTTATAAGGTGGGGTGTGGGGCGGGCGCGGAGCCTCACGCCTGTAATGCCAGCGCTTTGTGAGGCTGAGGGAGGAGGAGGCTTGGTTGAGCCCAGGAGTTCAAGACCAGCCTAAGTAAGAGACCCTGTCTCTACAAAAAATAAAATGAGCGGAACGTGGTGATGCAATCCTGTGGCCCCAGCTACTTGGGAGCCTGAGGCAGGACGATTGCTTTGGCCAGGACATCGAGGCTGCAGTGGGCTGTGATTGCACCACTGCACTCTAGCCTGCCTGACAGAGCAAGACTGCCTTAAAAAATAATAAGGCCAAGGCCGGGCGCGGTGGCTCACGCCTGTAATCCCAGCACTTTGGGAAGGCAAGGTAGGTGGATCACCTGAGGTCAGGAATTGGAGACCGGCCTGACAAACATGGAGAAACCCCTTCTCTACTAAAAATACAAAAATTAGGCGGGTGTAGTGGTGGGGACTGTAATGCCAACTAGTCTGGAGGCTGAGGCAGGAGAATTGCTTGAACCTGGGAGGCGGAGGTTGCAGTGAGCCGAGATTGCACCATTGCACTCCAGCCTGGGCAACACAGCGAGACTCCATCTCTCTATATATATATATATGTGTGTGTGTGTGTGTGTGTATATATATAAACAACAAATGAAATCCCAGCACTTTGGGAGGCTGAGGCAGGTGCATCACTTGAGCCCAGGAGTTGGAGACTAGCCTGGGCAACATGGCAAAACCCTGTCTCTACTAAAAATACAAAAATTAGCCAGCAGTGGTGGCCGGTGCCTGTAATCCCAGCTACTGGGGAGGCTGAGGCTGGAGAATCACTTGAACCTAGGAGGTGGAAGTTGCAGTGAGCCAGGATCAAGACTCCGTCGCAAAAAAAAAAAAAAAAAAAAATAGCTGTGATTGAGCCGCTGTACTCCAACTTGGGCGATAAAGCCAGACTGCGTCTCAAAAAAGTAATTTTTTTTTTTTTGAGACAGTCTTGCTCTGTCACCCAAGCCGGAGTGCAGTGGCACAATCTTGGCTCACTGCAACCTCCGCCTCCTGGGTTCAAGCAATTCTGCCTCAACCTCCTGAGTAGCTGGGATTACAGGTGCCCACCACAGTGCCTGGTTAATTTTTGTATTTTTAGTAGTGTAGGCCAGGCTGAACTTGAACTCCTGACCTCAAGTGATCCTCCCGCCTTGCCCTCCCAAAGTGCTAGGATTACAGGTGTGAGCCACCATTCCCAACCATTAATAAGAATTTTTTGGCCGGGCGCGGTTGCTCAAGCCTGTAATCCCAGCACTTTGGGAGGCCGAGACGGGCGGATCACGAGGTCAGGAGATCGAGACCATCCTGGCTAATATGGTGAAACCCCGTCTCTACTAAAAATACAAAAAACTAGCCGGGCGAGGTGGTGGGCGCCTGTAGTCCGAGCTACTCGGGAGGCTGAGGCAGGAGAATGGCATAAACCCGGGAGGCGGAGCTTGCAGTGAGCCGAGATCCGGCCACTGCACTCCAGCCTGGGTGACAGAGCGAGACTCCGTCTCAAAAAAAAAAAAAAAAATAAGATGCTACGCCAGGCACGGTGGCTCACGCCTGTAATTCCAGCACTTTAGGAAGCCGAGGCCCGTGGATCACATCACAAGGTCAGGAGTTCAAGACCCGCCTGGCTAAGATGGTGAAACCTCGACTCTACCAAAAATACAAAAATTGGGGCCGGGCACGGTGGCTCAAGCCTGTAATCCCAGCACTTTGGGAGGCCGAGACGGGCGGATCATGAGGTCAGGAGATCGAGACCATGGCAACGGGAGTCATAAAAAACAGGGAGATCAGATCGAGACCATCCTGGCTAACACGGTGAACCCCGTCTCTACTAAAAATACAAAAAACTAGCCGGGCGAGGTGGCGGGCGCCTGTAGTCCCAGCTACTCCGGAGGCTGAGGCAGGAGAATGGCGTAAACCCGGGAGGCGGAGCTTACAGTGAGCTGAGATCTGGCCACTGCACTCCAGCCCGGGCTACAGAGCAAGACTCCGTCTCAAAAAAAAAAAAAAAAAAAAAAAAAAAAAACAAAAAGCTAGCTGGGCGAGGTGGGGGGCGCCTGTAGTCCCAGCTACATGGGAGGCTGAGGCAGGAGAATTGCGTAAAACCTGGGAGGCGGAGCTTGCAGTGAGCTGAGATCCGGCCACTGCACTCTAGCCCCAGTGACAGAGCAAGACTCTGTCTCAAAAAAAAAAAAAAAAAAAAAAAAAAACTTAGCCAGGCATGGTGGCGGGTGCCTGTAATCCCAGCTACTCTGGAGGCTGAGGCAGGAGAATTGCTTGAACCCGGGAGGCAGAGGTTGCAGTGAGCCAAGATCATGGCACTGCATGCCAGCCTGGGCAACAGAGCGAAACTCCATCTCAAAAAAAAGAAAAGAAAAAGTAAAAATAGGCCGGGCACGGTGGCTCACGCCTGTATTCCCAGCACTTTGGGAGGCCGAGGTGGGAGTATCACGAGGTCAGGAGATCAAGACCATCCTGGCTAACGTGGTGAAACCCCATCTCTACTAAAAAAAAAAAAAAAACAAAAAATTAGTCAGGCGTGGTGGCAGGCGCCTGTAGTCCCAGCTACTTGGGAGACTGAGGCAGGAGAATGGCGTGAACCAGGGAGGTGGAGCTTACAGTGAGCCGAGATCATGCCACTGCACCTCCAGCCTGGGCAACAGAGCGGGACTCTGTCTCAAAATAAAATAAAAATAGAAAATGAGGGCTGGGTGCAGTGACTCACGCCTGTAATTACAGCACTTTGGGAGGCCGAGGCGGGCAGATCACGACGTCAAGAGATTGAGACCATCCTGGCCAACATGGTAAAACCCCATCTCTACTAAAAATACAAAAATTAGCCAGGTGTGGTGGCAGGCGCCTGTAGTCCCAGCTACTCAGGAGGCTGAGGCAAGAGAATCACTTGAACCCATGAGGCGGAGGTTGCAGTGAGCCAAGATTGCGCCACTGCATTCCAGCCTGGCAACAGAGCGAGACTTGGTCTTTAAAAAAAAAAAAAAAAAAAAAAAAAAAAAAAAAAAAAAAGCTATGTGGTGGGCTGGGCACGGTGGCTCATGCCTATAATCCCAGCACTTTGGGAGGTCAAGGCGGGCAGATCACCTGAGGTCAGGAGTTCAAGATCAGCCTGGTCAACATGGTTGGCGAAACCCCATCTCTACTAAAAATACAAAAATAAGCCAGGTGTGGTGGTGCACACCTGTAGTCCCAGCTACTCTGGCAGCTGAGGCAGGAGACTTGCTTGAACCCAGGAGGTGGAGGTTGCAGTGAGCCAAGATCACATCACTGCACTCCAGCCTGGTCAGCAGAGTGAGACTCCATCTCAAGAAAAAAACAAAAAACAAAAACAGATGGTATGTGGCACAGTGCCTGAGGGAGACACACCTTCTCTGGCGGGATGGTGAGGGAAGGCCGAACCCTAAAGGCTCAAAACCAGATGTGATAAGCTTGGGAGGAAGATTTTATCATCTCCTATGACAGTCCTGTGCTATTGTTATAGCCAGATAGGAATGCAAAGAAAAATGAAGAATTCCACCAGAACCGGGGGGCCGAATGGCAGCGTTGTCAGGGCTACACTGAGCCCTGTGAGATGCCCGTTATGGCTCCTGTCTGGCAGCAATGTGAGAGGCAGGCAAGCCTCACGGCACCCCCGTGCTCCGTCAGTCCAGGGGGAATGTGACTCCTTGGAGAAGTGCCAGCAACTGCCCTGCTATCCTTTGCCACCGCATCAGGGTCCCCTCTGCCCGGATCCCTGCTGTGAAGGGCTGTGTTTGTTTCATGTCAGTCTCCTCCAGCCACGCCCATAGGACCCAGCGGAAGGGCTGGCACACAGTAGGCACTCAGTCTGAATGCGGTGGCCATACGTGGTGAACGAATGAACTCCACAGACCTCCCAGAATTT